TTAATTTACCTAATCATTCTAAGCAACATATGGCAATCTGCGGTCTTTCCTTACACTTAGGTAGCACGGAAAGCCGTAAAACTCTTGAACAAAAGCTCATCTTTCAAACCGGCAGTCTAAATCCCACAGGTATCAACGAACGCTTTTCATTCCACTAATTTATTCTTGTTTTTCTCGTTGCCATGTTCCCACCAATAACGTAGCTCCATTTTCTGCCTTTAAAAGCACACAAAACCCATAATTCCTCTATTCGCTCCGACGAAGGGCTGACGCTCCAAAGGTCAGCTTTTTAAAGCGTAAGGGTGGCTAATTTACCATTTCAACTTTGTTGATGGATTCAAATTATTAGAGCTGAAGAAGCAGAGCGATACTCTAAGGAGATGAACCTCAGAAGCTTCTATGCCACTCTAAACACTGTTTATGGTCCAAGACCCAGAACCTCTCATCCAGTAAAATCAAAAGGTGGCGAGCTCCTATTGACTTATATGATAAAAGACAGATGGGTTGAACAGTTCAGCGACTTACTAAACCAACCAACTGACGTTCACTTGACCATTTTCAATGGCATAAACCAGCTTCCAGTCATCGAATCAATGAGCCGCCCAATCGAAGAACAAGAACTTGATCAAGCTCTCAAAAACACCCGATTGGGAAATAGCCCAGGTCCTGAGGGCATTCTTCCTGAAATACTTGTGAATGGTGGACGTCGATTGAGAGCTTTCCTGCTTGTCCTGTTTAACATCTGCTGAACTACAGAGATAATTCCATTGGACTTGATAGATGCGAAACATCGCCAAATTGTTCAAAAAAGGCGACAGAAGTCATTGCGGCAATTACAGAGGTATATCGCTACTCAGTGCTGTTGGAAAAGTATTCGCGGATGTCATCTTGCAGAGGCTACACCTGTTAGCGGAATCCATGTATCCCCAGTCGCAGTCAGGGTACCGTAACGAAAGAAGTACACTAGACAGAATTTTCACGCTTCGCCAGCAGATGGAAAATAACAAGAAAGCAACGCAGACGCTTGTACATAGCCTTCGTGGACTTTGCCAAGGCGTTTGACACTGTCAATCGTGAGCTTCTTTTCATCATCCTTGGCAAACTTGGCTGTCCGCCAGAGTTTATAAGAATCATCAAGAAGCTATGTACAGATGTACACGCCAGACTTGTAGTTGCTGGTGAACTGATCCAATCCCTTGAATACAATAGCGGGGTTAAGCAGGGGCGTAAACTAGCTCCAACACTCTTTAGCATCTACGCAGCAGTCTTACTCTGGCTCGCTTTCAAGAAAATCAGACAGACCTGCAGTGTACAGATCAGGTAATGTTATGATGAAGATCTTTTTTACCTACGCAGACTCAAAGCAAAAACCAAAGTTCTTACAGAGTTTATTAGAGAAGCTCAGTATGTTGACGACATTGCTATTTTCAGTGACACGCTAGAGGGTCTGCAATCGCTTTTAACCTCCTATAACGTCGTTGCTAAGAGGATGGGCCTGTGCATCAACACGGTTAAAACAGAAACTATGTGTATTGGTAACACAGCTGAGTTCTTCGTAGATGGTACTAAATCAGCAAACGTCACCCGCTTCAAGTACCTCGGCAGCTATGTCAGCAGTGACTGATCTATGAAGGAGGAAATTGCCTCTCGTATTCAAGCAACGTCATGTACATTTGGTCGAATACGTAAAATAGTGTTCGATTCGCATGATATAACAGCTCCGACTAAAGTTGTTGTGTACAACCAATGCCTAATGCCCCTTCTGATGTATGGCAGTGAAACTTGGACTCTATATCAACATGAAGTCAGGCAGCT